GAAATGAGAAGGCAGAGAGGGTCAGGAGCTGGTTGAATGGACATGGGAAATCAGGGGTGGAAAGGAAGAGTGTGCTGTTACAGTACAGCGAGAGCAATTAGGGTCACATAACAATGTATGTATAAATTTTTATATGAGAGGCTAACTTGAATTGTAAACTTTCACTAAAACTACAACAATAAAATTTAAAACAAAATTGGGTGTGGGGGATTGGATGGAGTGATAGGACAGTTGATCAGGGAATCCTCAGGAAGGGCCTTCAGGATGGGTTGTATGCTTGCTCAGACTGAGAATGGGGCAAAGTTTAGGGGCGTGGAGGAAAGAGAGAGGCTTAACCGAAGTTTGGTCAAGCTGGCAGGTGTGTTGTCCAGATTGGTCAGATGATATGAACAGTTCAGCTAAACATGTATGAGGCTGACCATGTCTGGCTTTGTCATAAGTAAACCAAGAGGCATCTGTTGTGAATTGAATTGTGTTCCCCCACAGTATGTGTTGAATTCCTGGCCCCTGTACCTGTGGATGTGATCCTGTTTGGGAATAGGATTTTCTTTTGTTATGTTAATGAAGCCATACCAGAGTAAGGTAGACCCTAAACCTAATCACTTCTGAGTTATAAAAAGAGAAGACTAGACACAGAGATCCACACAAGAGGAAGACAGATGCCTTTGAGGAGCTGTTCACAAACAAAAGAATGCCGAGGATTGCCAGCAGACACCAAAAACTAGTAGAGAGGCCCACAGAAGGAATCAATGTGGATTTCTAGCCTCCAGAACTGTGAGAAAATTAATTTCTGTTCTTTGCTTGTGTTGTCTCTGTTACAGCATCCCCAGGAGAATAAGGCAGCACCCAGGAGCCTAATCTAAGTCATATGGGGAAGGTGAGCTCTTTTCTGCAGGTCGTTTCCTAAAGCACAAGAGGGTCAGGGGGTGGGGGGAATTTCTTAACCATCACTGTTTTCCAGAATCACAGGGCTCAAGTGAAGATTAACTGTCAAATACATAAAACAAAATACATGGGATCATGAAGGAAACCAACTTTATTTAAATATAGTCATCGACCAGAATAACCAGGTGGGGCCTGGCTTCTGTTACTGCTTTCATCAAAGATTCCGTAGAAGAATCTTAATCAAAAGGGGGGGAAAGGTGGAACAGAATCTCAAGTTCTCATGGAATCCAGACTTCCTGGAGCCTTTGAGGCTGGATGAACCCCTAAAACTATTGCCCTGAGATAATCTTTAAACCTTAAACAAAAAATATCTCCTAAAGTCTTCTCTAAACCAAACAATGATTTAGCTTAATTAGGGAAGAATGTCTGCCTTAAGCACTGTGCTCTTTTAAAGAACTGTCTATATGGGATCAAACTGATGACAACAACAACTCAAAAGGTTAGGCAGGAAACTTGTGGGAAAGTGACTTTATGTTAATGGGGGAAGAACAATTCAGAAAAGGAGGGTGAGCATGGTTATACAACTTGAATGTAATCAATGTCATTGAACTGTACATGTAGAAATTGTTGAATTGGTGTATATTTTGCTGTGTATACTTTCAACAACAATTTAAAAAAACAAAATAAAACATGAAAAACAACAAAACTAACTAAATAAATATAGTTATTGTCATGGATTGAGTTATGTCCCCTTAAAAATGTGTGTATCAATTTGGCTGGGTCATGATTCCCAGTATTGTGTGATTGTGTACCATTTTCTGATCTGACATGATTTCCTTATGTGTTGTAAATTCAGTCACTATGATGTAATAAAATGGATTAGTGGTAGTTATACTGATGAGGTATACAAGATTGGATAGTGTCTTAAGCCAATCTCTTTGGTGATACAAAAGAGAGAAGTGAGCAGAGACACATGGGAACATCATACCACCAAGAAAGCAGTGCCGGGAGCAAAGTGTGTCCTTTGGATCTGAGGTTTCTACACACAGAAGCTCCCAGACCAAGGGAAGATTGATGACATGGACCTTCCTCCAGAGCTGACAGAGAAAGCCCTGGAGCTGACACCCTGAATTTGGACTTGTAGCCTACTGGACTGTGAGAGAGTAAACTTCTCTTTGCTAAAGCCATCCATTTGTGGTATTTCTGTTATAGCAGCACTAGATGACTAACACAGTTATCAAAGCATTAAATATGTGATATTAACACATTAAGTGGCAAGATCTAGCATCAGTTTAATAACTACCTTAATTTAAAAGGAACAAGGAGCATACACAATTTTTCACAATATCGGCAACAGCTGTCATATGCTGTGAAAACATCTCTGATTCCCCTTGGTGACAAAGTCGCAATTCTGCTGTCTCCCCCGTGGTTTGTTGCCTCCATCACCATGGAAGGAAATGTTAACTTTCAATTTGAGGTGAGTGAAAATCGGGTAAATTTTACCTCATCCAAATTCACAGACTCCTTGAAGTCTATCACCCTTGGGAGTTCAGGGAACTCCGGTTAAGGAGCCCTGCTATATCCCACTGCTCTATTTTACTTTCTTCACAGCACTTGCCACTCTGTGAAGCTGTTTATTTGCTTGCTTGAGAGTTTTCATGTTTACTGGCTTTTTCCTCACCCCCACTCCAGAGAGACTGTAAGTGGCCTGAAGTCAGGCCCTGCCTGGGACTTTGTATCTCACTTATCATTGATCTCCAGAGTGTAGAGCTGATGCACAACACACGTAGCGGCACAACACAATCTTATAAAAAAATAAGCGAATCAACAAGTAGTAAGAATGCTTAATAGTTATTATGCTAAGTGTTGGGAGGGCCGTCTGCTGCAGCCCCTGCAACTCTCACCCAGATCACCTAATCAGGATGCTTGAGCCCGAAACAGTCACTGATAATGGAGGCTGGAACTGAGCCTTTCTCTGTCCTGGTTTCCTTTTTCTTATTGGAGAAACTCCTTCCCTGTTGCAGGCCTAGTTAGTACCTCTTTGTTGTACTTATGTTGGTATGTGTTTCTGCACCTGGTCAACCCCATTTCTGTATCTGTGTCTGGCAGGGAGGGGATGGAGTCCTTCAACTGCAACACAAGAGGGGTGTGTGCAGACCACCAGCACTGGGATGGCTGCAAGGAGTGACCCCCTGCCCTTGGGGGACTGGTGCCAGCTACTGAAGCTGGCCTCAGTCTGTCTCTTCTCTATGTGAGTAAAGTGTTGTTCCATCAATGCCTGCGTGTAAGGCGTGTCTTTCTTGGTGACCTCAGACCTTGGCTTGACACTAAGCATTCTGCATAGCTTAATTCCTTGAACCCTCACAAAATGCTGTGAAGTAGGAACTATTATTTATCCCTATTTTGCAGATGAGACAACTGAGCCAGTGTATTTGGCTGAGCAATAGACCATGAGAGTCAAAGACCAAACAATTGTATCTTGTGAAAGCTGACCTGGGAAATAAGACACCTTTGCCCCAGGGCTCTTCTCCATCAAGATTTCTCATGAGCGCAGGTGCCTGCAATCACTTTTCATTAAGTAAGAAACTTAAGAAAAACATTTTCTATATCCAATTTCTTTAAGCCTTTTGGAAAAGTGCAGTACCCTCATTTTAAAATTTTATTTATTTTGTTGTGGCTGTTGAGAATATACACAGCAAACATATACCAATTCAACCATTTCTACAGGTACAATTCAGCAACATTGATTACATTCTTCAAGTTGTGCAGCCATTCTCACCCTCTTTTTCCGAGTTGTTCCTCCCCCATTAACATAAACTCACCGTCCCCTAAGGTTCCTATCTCATCTTGCTGTTGTCAATTTGATCCCGTATAGACAGTTCTTAAAAGAGCACAATGCTCAAAGCAGACATTCTTCACTAGTTAAGCTAAACTATTGTCTGGTTTTAAGAAGGGGATATTTTTGGTTTAAGGTTTAAAGATTATCTCAGGACAATGGTTTCAGGGGTTCATCCACCCTCCATGGCTCCAAGAAGTCAGGAGTCCATGAGAGTTTGAAATTCTGTTCTACATTTTCCCCCTTTTGATTAGTGTTTTTCTATGGAATCTTTGATCAAAATGTTCAGTAATGGTATCCAGGCATCATCTGCTCCTTCCAGTCTCATGGCAAAGGAGGCAGTTGTTCATAGAGGCGATTAGCCATACATTCTATTTCCTCCTCCTATTCCTGGCTCTTCTTCCTCTGTTGTTCCAGGTGAATAGAGATCAATTTTGTACCTTTGATGTCCTCTTTCAAGCTTTTAAGACTTCAGAAACTATGCAACAGACTAGGTGGTAGAACAGAAGCACTAAACACATTATTAGGCCAATTAACTGGGATGTCCCATGAAACATGACCCTAAACCTCCAAACCAAGGAATGAAATCCCATGAGGTGTTTGGGTGTACATAAGCAGCCTCAGCAGCTATTCTTTTTGTTTTTTTGTCATTGTTGTAAATATGTCTATCACACAACTTTTGCTAATTCAACTTTTCACAGGTGTACAACTTACTGAGAGCACTTACAATAATCAACTGTGCAGCCCTACCCTTAATCAATGTGATTTTTCCATCAAAACTCAGTACCCCATAGGCAATAATCCCTTTCCCTCCCTCCTGGCCCTGGCAACTACTAGTAAAATTTAGTCTCTGAGTTTGTCTGTTCTTGTCTTTTTATATAAGTGAGGTCACACCATATTTGTCCTTTTGTGATTGACTTATTTCACTCACCATGTCTTCCAGCTCCATGCATATTGTAGCGTGTATCAATCAAGACTTAATTTCTCCTACTGGCTGAGTAGTATTCCATTGGATGTATGTACCACAGTTTGTTTATCTATTCATCTGCTGATGGACATTTAGGTTGCTTCCACCTTTTAGTACAGTATGTTCTTATTGGCAGCATTTACACAATTTCCACCATGATATATTTATATATATTCTGTTAAATCATACAAGCCAGAAACAACTAGCAGAATCTGACTATGTCACATAAACAGCTTTCCATATCCCAAAAACCACAAAATATTTTTTAAAATCACATCCTGTAGCTTCCTTCATCTGCATTAATTTACTAATTTGCTGCATGTTTATTTTGTTGCTTGCTGGCTATAGCTAGCAGGTAGGTAGTAACTGGGGCCAAAAGATTAAGAAAAAATCATTCCTATCTAACCTTGTTTTTCTCCTTTCTGGGCATGGGGAAAGCGACTCATTCTTTGAATCTTCTGGATATTACACCAATCCAGCCTGAGAAGCTCTGGAAGAGGTCAAGAATGGTACTGGGGATTATCCTGTTTGAGACTGTGCCACCAGCCTCTACAGTGAACAATGAGATACTGGTGTTAATTCAAGTTAGAAGTTTGTGGTAGATGTTTTTCCCAACTCCCTTCTTAACCCCTCAGCAGAAGGAGACACAAAACTCACCCATGTCAGCAACAGCAAGAAAAGGCAATGGAAGACTCGCAGTTTCCAGGGGTAGCTGATCGCAGCGGGAATGTCCGCCGTGAGAAGATGGTAGCAAATCACATACAGCCCTACCCCTGCAGCCAACACACAGGCTGCCACGAGGAGGGTCAAGACCAGAAACAGCATGCTGTCTCCTCCACAGAGGAGGCGAGAGGGAGCTGCACTCAGTGTCGACTGTTTGGGACACAGTCTGGAGCCAGCAGAACTCCTCCACTTATAGATTGCGACCTGCCCTCCCCACCTCCCCATCTCCTGAAAGCACCAGCCCAGCAGCCTAAATGAGTCATGGACTCAAGTGAGGGATGTGATTCTAGGACAGGGTCCCATTCGAAGAAGAAAGTGGCTCATGCCACCTGACCCAGCTGGAAACAGCAGCTCAAAAGTTCCAGCTTCAGTCAAGGCACTGTTGTTGCACATGGCCTTGGGTAAGTCAACATGGACATCACAAATGCTCTCTCCCCACCTGCCCTCTGATCTCATCACCACTCCCTAATTCCCCTCCAGATACACTGGTCTGGTTCCTTAGCCTGAAAGGACGCCCCAGGGCCTTTTCACTGGCTATTATCTGTGCAACCTTCTTCCCCCAGACATTTGCTGGGCTCAACCTCTCCTCTCCTGTAGATCTCTGCTCAGATGTCACCTTCTCAGTTAGGCTGTCCCTTGCTATCTTATTTAAAATTGTAACCCACCCCCACCAGTTCTCCTATGATTTCCCCTCCCCCACTTACTTTTTCTCTATGATCTTCATTTTCATCTGAAATACCACGTACTTCTCTTTTTTGTTTTTTGTCGGTAGAATATAAGCTCTGCCACAACAGGCATTTTTGTTTCGTTACCTGCTTTATCCCAGAAGTCTAGATCAGGGTTTAAGGAACCCTGGTGGTATAATGGTTAAGCACTCGGCTGCTAGCCAAAAGGTTGGCAGTATGAACCCACCCAGTAGCACCATGGGAGAAAGATCTGGCCATCTGCTCTTGTAAAGATTACAACTTAGAAAACTTCATGAGGAAGTTCTACTCTATCACACAGGATTGCTAGGAGTCATAATTTACTAGCTGGCACCTAACAACATAACAACAGCTCAGGATTTGGTTTATAGTAGGTACTGAGCAAATATTGAATGAAGAAATGTCCTCTTCATTGTAAAAGCAAGAAACTTTAAGCTTGCCTGCCCTTCAGGTCAGATCAGAGGTTGATGTCATTGTTTGCAATCTTTCCTAAAGACAAAGTCTCCCATCATCAGTAACAATAATGGTGTCTGTCTTGTAGTCTATTGTAATTCAATGACTGGTCTCTATAGTAACCTTTTTCCTACCCTTCCCACCCCTGCTCTGGAGATAACAGTGGTTCTCAAACAGGGGAGATTTTACTCCTCCCCTGGCACTGTATGCAGACAGTTTTGGTTCAGACAACTGGGGGAGGGGGTACTGACATCTAGTGGGTAGAGACCAGGGATGCTGTTAACATTCTACAGTGTATAGTACAACCCCTACAACAAAAAATTATCTGGCCCAAGTATTTTGATCAAAGAGCCTATAGAAGAATCCCAACCCAAAGCTAATATTTTCCTGGTGTCTTTGGTTTTCTTCATTCACCTTTGCTCCAAGTGGGATGGGACCAATTGATGCATCTTAGATGGCCACTTGCAAGCTCTTAAGACCCCAGATGCCACTCAGCAAAGTGGGATGCAGAACATTTTCTTAATAAACTTTGTTATGCCAATTGACCTAGATGTCCCCTGAAACTATGGTCCCCAGGCCCCAGTCCCAGCTACTCTGCCCCTCAAAGTGTATGGATGTATCCAGGAAACTTCTTAGCTTTTGCTTTGGTCCAGTTATGCTGACTTTCCCTGTATTGTGTGTTGTTCTTCCCTTCAGCGAAGTTGACCTTTGTCCACTATCTAGTTAGTGAACTCGCTTCCATTTCCCTCTCCACCCTCGTAACCATCAAAGAATGTTTTTTCTGAGTTTAAACCTTTTCTTGAGTTTTTATAATAGTGTTCTCATACAATATTTGTCCTTTTGTGACTGATAAATTTTACTCAGCATAATGCCCTCCAGATTCATCCATGTTGCGAGATGTTTTGCAGATTCATCATTGTTCTTTACCATTACGTAGTATTCCATTGTATGTATGTACCATAATTTGTTTATCCATTCGTCTGTTGATGGGCACCTAGGTTGTTTCCATCTTTTTGCTATTGTGAACAATATGGCAATGAACGTGGGTGTGCGCACGTCTATTCCTGTGAGGGCTCTTATTTTTCTAGGATATATTCCAAGGAGTGGGATTGCTGGATCATACGGTACTTCTATTTCTAGCTTTGTAAAGAAGCACCAAATTGTTTTTTAAGGTAGTTGTACCATTTTACACTCCCACCAACAGGGCATAAGTGTTCCAATCTCTCCACTACCTCTCCAACATTTATTATTTTGTGTTTTTTTATTCGTACCAGCCTCTTCAGAGTGAAGTGGTGTCTCATTGCAGTTTTGATTTGCATTTCTCTAATGGCTAATGATCATGAGCATTTCCTCATGTGTCTGTCACCGCTTGAATGTCTTCTTTGGTGAAGTGTCTGTTCATATCCTTTACCCATATTTTAATTGGATTATTTGTCTTTTTGTTGTTGAGGTGTTGCAGTGTCTTATAGATATTAGAAATTAGACCCTTATCGGATATGTCTTAGCCAAATTTTTTTTTCCAGTCTGTAGGCTGTCTTTTTACTCTCTTGGTGAAGTCTTTTGATGAGCATAAGTGTTTGATTTTTAGGAGCTCGCAGTTATCTAGTTTCTTTCCTGGTGTTTGTGCATTGTTAACCACGGTTTGTATACTATTTACGCCATGTATTAAGGCTCCTAGTGTTGTCCCTATTTTTTCTTCCATAATCTTTATCGTTTTAGATTTTATATGTAGGCCTTTGATCCATTTTGAGTTAGTTTTTGTGTATGGTGTAAGGAAAGGGTCCTGTTTCATTTTTTTTGCAGATGGATATCCAGTTATGCCAGCACCGTTTGTTAGAGACTGTCTTTTCCTCAGTAAACGGACTTTGGGATTTTGTCAAATATCAATTGCTCAAAGGTGGATGAATTTATGTCTGGATTCTCAGTTCTGTTCCACTGGTCTATGTATCTGTTGTTGTACCAGTACCAGGCTGTTTTGACTACCATGGCGGTATAATAGGTTCTAAAATCAGGTAGGTGAGGCCTCCCACTTTGTTCTTCTTCTCCAATAATGCTTTACTATCTGGGACCTCTTCCCTTTTCATATGAAGTTGGTGATTTGTTTCTCCATCTCATTAAAAAATGCTGTCAGATATTGGATCACAATTGCATTGCATCTGTAGATTACTTTGGGTAGAACTGACATTTTCACAATGTTGAGTCTTCCTATCCACAAGCATGATATGTTTTTCCACTTAGTTAGGTCTCTTTTGGTTACTTGCAGTAGTGTCTTTTAGTTTTCTTTGTATAGGTTTTTTAGCTTGTATCCTGATACTTTGGTGAAATCCTCAATTAGTTCCAGTGGTTTTCTTATGGATTCTTTGGGGTTTTCTGTGTGTAAGATCATATCATCTACAAATAGAGATATTTTTACTTTTTCCTTACCAATTTGTATGCTCTTTTTGTCTTTTTCTTGACTTATTGCTCTGGCTAGGACCTCCAGCACAATGTTGAATAAGAGCGGTGATAAAGGGCATCCTTGTCTGGTTCCTGTTCTCAAGAGGAATGCTTTCAGTCTCTCTCCATTTAGAATGCT